AAACAGGTCTAAATAACAAGGCTCTATTGCTATTTTATTGCTACTGTACATTTGTTACCACATTAGAAAGCTCCTGCTTCATAAGTGGTGCCCTCTCTTCCTTTATTTTTATCTTCTTTCTTCTTTTTCTGCCAGGGAGGTTTTTCGTCGTTTCCTTACTTCAGGAGTATTCCTATGTTAAGCCTTCCTTACTCGCAAACGATCACCTTTTTCTATTCCTTCTTCAAAGAAATGTCCTGGAACTAAGTCCATCTCTTCAAAATGTTCACAGCTGCTTTATTGCCAAGATTCAAATGAGCTACAGCATCATATGTTCCAAAATTCAGGACATCCGCTCCAACAAAAATGGTTTTCGGCAACCGGTTCCAAATCATGCCATTTAGTGACTCATTCTGGTTTTGGGTTTTTCCATCTAAGCACTTGCTCAATAGTTCATCATTGCTAAGCCTGGTATAAATAGATTTGAGCAATGCAATAATATCATCAGGAAGACCTTCACCGGGTTTGTACAGCTTTGTATTGTTTGCTTTATCTTGTGCAGAATTACTGGCACTGTAGGCATGAATGGAAGAGGTGGCATGTTCATCAAGCCACAGAAACGTTTCAGTGATGAGTGTCCTTGTCCCATACTTCGCATAGCATACACAAATCGCTTGTTGATATAAAACGAGTGCTGAACTTTATTTCATGTATAAAAGGTATACACCAAACCACATGTTTGGCAACGAACACGAAGATGAGACACACTGCCTTTTCGTTCACGTGGGTCTTCTTCCAAAACAAAACAAGACGATGAACCACATCACTGCAAATCATTTGCTTAAAAACATAGTTCAGGATCTCCATATCAATAAATCGATACCCTGTCACGGTAGCTGAAACTGGGGGAGCATTTCGTGGACATGGATTGCCAATCTTACGAGCGGAAGCAGAAATATTTGGAGACGAATTGCCTTCGATCATTAGTTGAAGTTGATCGCACAACAGAATCATTCTCAAGACGCGCTTTCCTTACAGAGTCCGTGAATCTATTGCCATGAAATTTCCATTTCCTTACTCTTGAACTTTCCTTAGCATCGTGAATATATGAATATATAATATCGGAATATGCAAATAATGTAAATTACGCTTGACGAACGCTTGAGAGTTGAGAACACGAGAACAACACAATGAGTTTATTTAGCTCAAAAGACGCCTTCAGATCGTTAAAAGAGCTTTCAGCGGGTGTGTTAAGAAAGCAGAAGGACTACTTCATATAATATAAAGAAAATCGTTCTCATTGGATAAAAAGAAGGGCTTTCAGGCGGGATTTTCAAACAAAAACAGCTGTTGCTAAGGGCGTTGCTAAGGCAGAAAATAGCCAAAGGTTCAGGAATTTGCTTTTTTTTAGTGTTGTAGTATTCTATGCGCACTGAAAATTTCTGAGGCCATAGAGGAAGGTTGAAAGTACATATAATGACTGTCTTTGAAAATTCAAAAATTTCGAAGTCAAAGTGAAAATTTTAGTAGAGGACCCCCTTAAAATAATATTATAAAGTTTATCAAGAGCCAGTTATCTTGTAAAATCCTGCTTCGAATGTCCGCGTATTAAAACAATTTTCTAACAATAAAGTTGTAATCCTTCGTATAACAGAATATTGGAAGTAGCCTGGCTTCGTTTAATAATAAATTTTGCAATTTTATCATTCTGTCATTCTGAAGACAGAACGATCGAACCCCGTTTAAAATTCAAATAAGTCCGGCCACCCCGCAAATCAGTCCAGATAAGTCCGGTAAATTTAAACTGACCATTCGCAATGCAAGAAATGGACTGATTTGGCCCCCTTAAGGTGCAAATCAGTCCGGCCACCCCACAAATCAGTCGAGATAAGTCCAAATGGCTTATCGACCAATCAAATAAGCCGGCTGACCCACCCGATTATGCGAGTTTTTTTCGTTTTACCGCTGCTCTGGATAAGAGAATATTGCTTTTTTGAAACTGAACCCTTTAAAATGGACTATGATTGTAATTCTTATTATAATCTCGAAGGAGATTAATTGATCGCGTCGCGTAGCGACAGCGATCTATAGTTTCGGTTTGTTTTTTTTTTATTATTTTTTTCCTCTCGGATCAACCCCCAGCGTCGCTAGCTGCAGGCCATATCACCCTAATCGGGAACCTGCGCACAGGTAGTTGCTAGTTATATCACGTGCTGTTTTCACGTTGGGCATATTTCGTTTCACCTTCGAACTTCGAAGCAGTAAAGTAGAATCAATGCTTGCAAGTGCTATCTTTATCTTTACACTCATTGCACCTACAACTAACTGCACACGCTGAGCAGAGTAAGCCTGCACTAAAGGATTTCAAGCAGTTTCGAAATGGGCTGTTGTGTGTTTTTCCTGCTTTCAACATGCGACTATAGATCGGTATATTGTTCATTTTTATTATTAAGAACATTTACGACACAAATTAAATTTGCATAGCTGGGCTGGCTATGCCGCTGTGAACGACGCGATCATATAACGCCTAGTAGGCGTCTTGTTATTCATATTTCAAGATAGATTTAAATTTTAATTATAATTTTTACTGCCAAAAATACGTAAGTCGCGCGACTGACTGGACTTACCCTAGATCCGCCCCTGCTCGCATGTGCTAAAAAAAGCGCGGGGCTCAAATGCAACACATATAAATTAGCGCTTATATACGCCCTTATGCAGGTCCTTACTAATTCTTCTTACATTGCTTAATTATCTCATTCTTGTCTGATCAGATGGCATCTCAAAGTGGTTAGCTCGTATTAACTTGCGATTCCTGTGCGAATACTTGACTGGTTTTAATAAGAATTGAACCATTTTTAAAAGGAAATTGTCCTCAGTAGATACATGTTTTTTATATTGATATGTTGCCGATTAGCTATGATATTCACTTCAAAATGAATGCGATTCATTTAGTATTCAATATTACACTTCAAATCTATATGTTGCCGATTAGCTATGATATTCACTTCAAAATGAATGCGATTCATTTAGTATTCAATATTACACTTCTAATCTACAGAGCTAATCTATAAAATATTGCCCAAAATGCAAACGAAAACGGGTTACAGTGATTAGTTCACTGTTCACATTTTCAGTATTATTTTATATAAACATGCACGATGATATCAATTATCGCATCACTAACAAAAATATTTCACAATGATAGAAATATCTATCAGAACTAGCGGATGGGGGAGAGAAATCTTTAATTGGATAACATTTTTTAAAACTTTTAAGTTATTCTTCCTACATTACTAAGCTAATCAATTTGAGCAAAAAAACTGTTGTATGAATGTGCAGTCACCATACTAAAGAAAACACCAGACACACCCAATGATGGAAAATGGACGATTTTTGTAACACAATAACTAACCAACCAGATTTTAACGCTAGAACAATGGAATTGATATTATTGCTGCGGAGCGAGCGAGCCTGAAGCGAGCGAGCGTAGCAGCAGTCCAATTTGTGCAGAAAGGGGGTTCTGAACTAAATTTTATTTAGCGCAAGGAATTGTGGTCGTGCGCATTTTTTATGCGCAGAAAACTAATTTTAAACTCGCTCATATCCATGTACTTTTTGATTTCGACGGACAGGATCTTCAAATTTTTGTCAAATTTTAAAGCTTCTGATCTATTTTGACTATTCAAGGTAAGATATTTTGTCTTTCGTTCATATGTTACGTTTACAGTTGATTACAAATTTAACTTCTATATATTTATGAAACGCTAAAAGCATATACAATCGATCGCAGCTAAATTCATACTGTTTCTATACGATACACTATATATACAATATATACTATCCAATGTGCTAACGGCTAATTCGCTTTGCTTGAGCAGTTGAGCCGTCAGTGCTGTGAAGCAAATCAAGTCTTACATACAGAAGTCTTTATCTTTTTATCCATTGGCATTTGTATTCTTTTGCTTATTTCCATATTTTGCATCAAGTGATGTTTCAAGTATGCGGCTTGACGCTTGCGAGTCGTGTTAACATGACACAGTCACAGATAAAATATGCAATTGATCAAAGTTCAAAATCAAAGTATCAAATGATGTTTTGTCACTCTTCACATGAAGCCAAAGAATTACGTGGACTCATACAACAAGACAAATAACATATTTCAAAAACAAATATACATCTTACCAAAAAATGTTCTATTTTGTTAAACATGCGCTACTGCTTAGGGCCTGTATTCTCGCTAGGCGGAATTTTGCCCGAACAATATTTTCCGCGCGGAAACTGGAAAGTACAATGCTGTCAACTTTTTGCAGTGGAAAATGTCGCTACGCGCGCAAAATTCTGCGTAATATTACTATTATTCTTAATACTCCTGTTGTGATTCGTATATCAAAATATTTTGAAAACTAGCTGCTTCTAAAGACTTTGACCTGAAAACGAGCCGCAACTCGTATCTCTATCCAACATCGTAGAAATTGGTATTTATGACATTGAAAAATGGCTATTTTCAGACGATTCCTTTTGCTACAATCTACAAATCCTTTGGGCAGCAAATACTTTGTTGAACATATATCTCTTTGCTTAACAAATTTACTCGCGAATAAACAATATAAACCAGCAGCCTATTTCAAAACAATTTCGAGATAAAAGTTAGAACTTGAACAGTTGAACTACACAACGATGTTTTTCATACGAACTACATTACATAGCATGTATTGACCTATAATGACGTCATTGCCAGTGTTCTCCCTAATAGATATAAATTTATGTACAGCCCCAGCGAGTTAACGCTCAATAGAGGTTCACTTTACGTGTTTTAAACCTGCTATTGCTATTAGTTAAAACGTATTTAGTTTACTAATATTTCATATAACAATTTACTTGGACCCTAAAATGCTCGCAGCAATCCCTACCTTGCAGGTAACCTAGTTTAGTTTTAGTATTTTTACTTTGGATCTGAAAGTCGAACAAATAAAAATTTTGCAGTACTTTTTCAGCGGTTTCATTGATTGTGTATTTTACAGAAAATAAAAGTTACAACGGAATCTAAACTTGGCCCATGCAATGAAAGAAATTTTGGGGAATTAATTTTGGTCAATTATCGTAAAGGAAAGAACACTTTATTGGTCTGCAGTAAAGATGAAGGGAAATTTGGATGGAGTACGACAAACGATGGTAAAACGAATTTTATTTTTTAATATTTCAGGAAAGGCAAAGCCGATCCGTGTATTTTTAGTATGGAAGTACGCGGTTGGGAAGATACACTAGGCCAAAGTTACATCAAACACGAAAAAGTATGCAAATTTTCTATACCCATAATATCACTTAGAACGCATATCTCAATAAACCAAGCTATTTCTATATTACGGATTTTGCAAAAAATTGTTTCGTATTGGGAGGCAATAGTGTGTCATTTGCATTTCGCATTTCATAGTCTAACTACTTGCAGCTATTCCTTTAATTTAACTTTACCTTAGATGGTCAGACTGGAGAAATATCTAATCCAGGACACGATTGTATGTCAATATTGCATGCTAATCCTGAAGCCGAAGATGGATTTTACTGGATTACACTGAACAACAGAAAACCAAAGAAGGTATCTTCTCATATATCCATTTGTGGCGCAATAGTACTGTCCAGAGGTTGCGGTTCGCTTGCGATTGACCGATAGAAAAAGCAGCCTACCCCAAGGGAAAAAATACCTTTGCGTCGGCCGTTCGCTTCCGAACGAAATGTAGTGAACAGGTGTGAAGGACAACACTATATCCAAATCGAAAAAATCTTAAGAAATGTCTGTCAGACCGAATTAAGCCGAGGTTTAACCTCCGTCTCACCGTGGTTCGACCTCGGTCTGACCTCGGTTTAATCGCCATTAGACTGAGGTTTGACCTACGTTAACAGCGGGTTTTTTAAGGTTATTTCTGGACAGTACTGCGTACACTATTATTAAGACAACATAAATATAATTATTCCGCCTAAAATTACAGGGCGGAGAAATTTCAATCCAACCAAAATATTATAAATATGAATTTATTGTTAATTCTTTTTTCAAATTTAACAAGTATATATAAAACGTTAAAGAAAAATAGGAAGGACTGAAACTGTTTTCCTATTTTGGTGAAAACAGACTAAAAGAGTCGGATTTGGGGAAATTTGCTTCGGTATGAAACAGTAACTTTGGCTGAATAATTCTGATATCTTTCTTAGCCCCATCAAATAATTCCTGATTATTTGCATTTATTACTCATGCTCTAGGGGAGCGCGAGTCTAAGTTTCGTCGTGTGTAGGTCGCGTTTTGGACCTCAATGACCCAGTAATGCATTGCGCACTTGTATCGAAATCTAAACCACGTTTTAGAAACAATACGAAGGATACAAAATATATATGCACAGAACACATTACTACGGTGCAATGATTGTATTATAGCCGCTTGGTGGGATGTTTACTTTTAAATTCCTATATGAAAGGAAGATTTATCAGCATTTGTGAATTGTGATAATAATGTAAATATAGGTCTACTATTTTTCGACTATTTGGCGTTTAAAATAATTGCGTGATAATTTTTGTCGTGTAAGTCCTGAAGGATTCTAGAACGATTTTCCTGAAAGTTTTGCTTTTAGTCAAATCTCATTTGTAAACTTTTGCCATAATAGTATTTTTGCCAAAGAGAGAATTTCCAACTTTGCAAAGCAAATTATTTTGTTTCTTCTTTAAAAGGCTTGGTGTGACATGAAAACTGATGGTGGAGGATATATTCTTATCGGTAGAACAAATAGTTCCGGCATATGGGCAGTCCCATCTAATGACGATGCAGTTGAACCATTTGGCAAACCCCACTGGTGTAGCGCGCTGGGAAACACTGATGTTATTGATTTCAGAGTTCAGATGACTTCCGAAGAGGATTTTCAAAAGACGAAGGCGCATTGGTAAGAACTTTGCAACAGCTAGTACCGAGAGATTATTTGATCTTTAATGCAACACCGGACTCTTATGCACTGACCCAAAACGATGCAGGAATAATTCGAAAACGCAAGAATATTTTTACGGTCACACCATAAAATAATTTTTTTAAAGTATACTCGGCGACTACATTTGGAAGGAGCTTGACGGCGTATTAGATGACCACTCACACGTATTCGATATTTTCGTTAACTGAAAACGGACGAATCTCGCTCTCGTGCATAGTGGAAGAATATGAAAAAGACGCCCGACCACTTAGGGAGGCCTGTTTCAAGTCTTTAAGTTTATACTCGACTTATGATATTGCTAATATATATTAGCGTCAAATGAGTGTTTTTATAGGTTATTATTTTCATGGTGCATGAATAGAGTATTCAGTAATCCTTTTAGCACTTTTTAAAGAAGTATTTCACGCCTGAAACATGACTGTCCAAAACGTCGGGTATTTTATAACATGACATTCCATATTTCTTTTCACTTAGTGTATTCAAAAACTACATTTCGAAGGAGCTTGACGGGGCCTTAGATTAATAGCTTTAACAGTGGAATTAATTATTAATTTTATATATTTCCAGGGCTTACAGATTCAAAACTCCGCGCAAGTTAAAGAATCTTATGATAAACAAAAAAGGTTGTTCAAGCCATTCCCCGGGCATTGGAAATGTAAAATACGTGAAAAACTTAGAAAGTGGACATATAGTTACCACTCAATTTCGATGTTCAAAATTTGGTATTGGTTATCATCCTTATACAAACATTGGATGGGTACGTATATGCATTTGACCATTTCCTTGACCAAAAAATATTACTTGGAATGCTTTTCACTATATTATTTTTGCTATGATCGGTAAATAAAGTGTATTTTCAGAAAAAACATGACTTTTTGTTTATTTTTACTAATTTTTTTGAAAAAGGGACTGCCATAATTTTATATATACTTTTAGACAATGATTAACTCATGTCTTGAAAAACCATGTCCGTATGGATTTGCATTTCACCGGGATTATCCCATTCAACAAGACTATTCAGGATCGTTCAGGTAAATCTATTTGTACTTTACTGTATTACATTTTATAAACTATAGACCTGGGACGTTTCTTGAATAAAGCCAAAAAAGTTTTTATCACGCATTAAAACATATGTACTAAATTATACTATAATTATAATTTTCATTTTTTTAGTTATAGTGCAACAAAGAGCATTTCCGGAATCGAATACGGAGCAACGGCCCAAGTTGGGTGCAGCCGAGGACATGTTAGTATCGTATTGCCTTTCCAGAGTTCCGCACAGAGAAAATAAGTAAAGAGAATGCGCATAATTTATGATATTAATTTGTGGTTGGAGGTGTACATTCGTTGCAGCATCCCTCTTCTTTCTTGTCTCGAGAATAATTATGATCATTGCAATGGTTTTGTGTAGTTCTGCATGCAATTGCCTCTAAATTTCTTCTAAGTACAATTCAATACCTACGTTGCCCTTAACGTTTTCCTCAGCCTTTCCATTTGCGCATTGTCAATTTTTAGTAATAAACTAAGATATTATTTCATTATTATTTCAATATTATTTCAAGTGCTAGCTTTGCGATCAAATGATCGATCTCTATGTATAATACACATCTAAGTATGATGTAAAAGTTAAGTCGCGGCCTACTAAACTTAAAAGTGGAGAATGTGTTGATTCCATCGGTCAAGAAACAAGAACACGAAACAGTCACAATTTTAAATACCTAGTGCCTAGAGCTACTAAGGACATTTTTAAATATTCTTTTTATCAAAGAACACTAACTGAGTGGAATAGCCTCCCTAAAGAAATAGTTTTATCAGAAAATTTAGATATTTTTCAGAATAAACTCAAGAAGTATACTAATTAAGAAGTAACTTAAATACGTAGCTATAGTTATCATAATTTTATATTGTAGTTGGTGTGATAATCTGATGATTTTTACCGACTTAATAAAATGTATATGTAAAATGTAGATGTAGATGTCTACGTTGGCATAATTCAAAAATTCAGATCTCATCAATCATTTGGGAACTTGTTTTAGAAACGTGGTCAATTTATAAACCAATGCTAATTTAAAAACACCTAAAAAAAATTATGACGATCGATTGCTCTCGCACAAATCTATTTGTGAAATTATATTTATGTTCGGTTAATTTTGTCCCGTACAGTGTTGTGGTTGCCACGGACCTTCAAGAGGTAAACGGAACTATTGTTTTGAAAAATGCAAAGCTGGAAATGGTGGAACTATTGAATCACACGTTTACTCTTGGTTTTGGGTGAGGACATCTTCCCACAAGAAATTTTGGACTAAATGCATTGATTACAAAATGATGGAAAACGACACTTTTGTGTGGTATAAGTTAATCGGAAACAGTGAATCGCCGATCGAGGTTTGTTGGAAGATCCTCGACCATTAAAGTTAACTTTCACATCAGAAAGGGCAATGAATGAAAATTTGTTATGAAAGCATTCACACACATTCACCAGATATATTAATGATTCTTAACAGGGTCGGTGCGATAGAACAGGAAAAGCACTCTTGTACGATGGGGTAAGAATCATATTACCTTTCACTATGGCGTTTATTATTTATTATGCGCTCAGCAAAGCCGCCTATTTCGTGCTTGCAAATTTTCATGTTACCATCGAAGCAATGGCATTACGAAAGCCGTTTATAAAAATATGAGTAATATTAATCCCCACAGCTAGGAACAAAGTGTTTTTATTAACACACTCCAGGAGTTTTTATTTTTTTTTTCCAGGCAAATTTAACGAAAAATAATTACATACTTTATATTATTATTAATATATAGCTTTTCAAAATCCTCTATTGTTATTGGTTGACGAGCGGTCAGAAAAACCCATATCCAGACCCTGGTCCATACAATTATTTCGTATCTGAACCATTTTTCCGGTTGTCTCGTGAAGTTCAGTCATGTAATAAACCGATTATTAGCCTCGGTTGTTCGATCTGTACTGTGAAATATCAGACCAAGTTTTTTTTTCATGGACCGAGTATGTATAGCAGGGGCGGATTCAGCCGCCCAATCTGACAGTAGCATTTTGATAAGTTACGCAACCTATTGGGGTCTGGGGGCATGCCCCCCCCCCGGGAAATTTTTGAAATTTGAAACTTGGAAATGACATTTCCTGGGTTCTGAGCAACAGTCTCTGTTCTGAAATATGGCATTAACTAAGTCAGATTGTAGACAATAAGTAAAAAAATTATCACAAACAATAACAGAAAAATATTCAAACATACTTTGTTCTCTACTGAATAGCAGAACAGCAGAGGACAATCACCTCACTTACATATATACACGCGAACACAGTTCCAAACTACAGACAACGGCAGGACACGTATGGCAATATCACGCGCTGTTCCATGCTGTAATGTAGCATTACAGATAATAACACATTATTCCATTTTATCATTCGTCTTAGATGCTGGTTGTTCCAGATAATACGACGGCAGAAAAAACTCCTTTAATCGATGGTATGATTGTGTATCGTCAGGACACAGAGAAAATTTATGTAACAAAACACGAGAAACTACACCCTTTAGCAGACGAAGAAAAGGCAAGTTTCATTATTAAGAAGCTTTGTAATAAATTAGCCTTTCCCAGGAGGAATATATAAAGAGTAAAAGACATACCCATATATTAGACTATTAACAATTAGAATAGGTAGTAATAGCCTGTTTTACAAGTTTAATTAAAGATTAACAGCACTTTTTGCAATTATTAAATAATAGTTTTAACTTCAAAACGATTTCTTGAAATTGTATTTCGTAGTTTTGATGTAAAAAATTACTTTAAAGCTTTTATAGAATCGACAGCAATATCCGCATGAATTCAATAGTCGAAAAACAACATTCACGTTTAGTGTTTGGGGATTTAAATTATTTGTGCTGTTTTGATGTTTTGAAGGTTTAGTGAAGTATTAACTCTCATCTAAACTGTGAATGTGTAAGCTATAAACTGAATTTATCATAGCTAATGCAGCAGGAAAATGGGGGATTTCACTTCACCTTCTATATGATTCACCTTCACCTGTCTTTGTTTCTAAAATATTTGAAAAATAAACTAGTATCGGCTTTATATTAATTTTATAAAGTCATTTCATAAAATGGACAAGAAAGTGCCCAATTCTCTAGCTTTAATGAAGTGAGAAGAAATGTTTAAAATACCACAGTGTGTACAATATTGTACCTTGAACTTCGTGTCTTCACGTGCGGTTTCTTGGAAATAATGACATCCAAGTTATTTATAAAAGAGAAAGAACACTCCATCGTTTCTTTTTTCTCAAGATATCGTTCAAAATTTATTTAAACAACAGTGCGATCATATAAGATTTCTAAAACACTTCAAAGTTAATGAACCATACGCTCCAATTTCTCTTTAATTACGGGTTCTCGGTTTGTAATAATTTTATCCTTACTTTTCTAAAGCCCTTTTTTAAATACCTTATATTTTTACAAATTGTTTGCGGAAATGATAGTTAAGCTGCTGACCCAATGAAATGCATTTTTTGAAATTTGTAAAATAACTTAAGCATTAAATTGCTAAACAATATAATAATATTTTGATTTTAATACTAAGCTTTGAAATGGAGTATCAGAGTAGCAGGGACCTTCGCGTCAGCCCGATGAATACGAGGACTTATATAATTGAAAAAATTGAAATGTTAAAAAATTAATTTTTTTTTATATTACTTGCCAAACCTTGAATCATTGCCGCCTGTGTAACGTTGTTGATGCCGCATTTGGCTGGTCTCTTAAAGCTTGTACCCTGTAATATATTCCTATATAACCAGCAGTATCTTCTGTATGAATTAATATTGCATTCCATTTATAATACGATGTATATTAATATCTTTATGCTTAGGTACTTGAGACAAAAGAGGAGCTTAACAAATCTCTTGAGAAAAATAACAAAATACTCAGGAAATTTGGTACGAGTAAATTAATATATTTCCACAATTGCTTTTTTTTCTCATTTTTTATCACGAATTACCCGCACCCGAAATTTTATACCTGTGCATGGGCCAAGAGCTCTTGTGCAAAGAAAAGGAATGGAAAAAGAATATTAAATATTGTTGTACTGTTCACCGGTTAATAATCAGGCTGGACAAAAACTACACAATTTTCAATGACGCATACGACTTGTTGTATGATTATATAATTATGACAAAAATAATGGAGTCAAACTGCCAAAATCTCTCCAAGAAAGAGCGTGGTAAAACAGCTCTTACTTGCAGTCATGCAGACGAATTACTGTACACTATGTATTTCGTAATTTCAGAAACACTATGGAAGGCGTTGAACAAAAGCATCGTGGAAACAAAGACGCAGTTAGCTGAAGTCAAATCTGTTTTAAATGTAAGCTGTATTATGCCGAAATTAACGAGATACTGTAAAAAACAAAATATATATATATACTGTATGTTTCATGCAAATTTACTGAAAACTCGCAGTACAGTAGATGGTTCAAAAAATAAATGCTGAGCTACACACAATCGCCCGTGTTGAAAATTATTGTTAAAAATATTGAAAAGGTTTAATTGTTACAAATTATTGCGTTAGAAAAGTTTAAAAGTAGGAATTTGAAAAATTTTATATAAATATTTTAAACGAAATTTGCAAGATAAAGCCTTGCCTCTTTCAGAAGTGTTGTAACTTTCCTTTGGACGCAATGATTAAGCAACACCATCTACTTTTTGTACAATTGATCACATGACCTACTATTTAAAAGTGATAATATTAACAATTTTTTTTCCATTCCTCAATTTTCTCTGATTCCGCGTTTCCCGGTTGCAATCTTTAAAGTAGAGCCAGTTAATATTGAAGCCATGCCAGAAAAATCTTATGAAAACATCACAACACGTAAAACCACATTATGTATCATATACTGTGTAAGACAATAACATCACCAATATCCTAGATTACCATGAAATTAACACAAAAATAATTTTTGTAATTTCTTATGCTTTTGATACATTTAAATGTCAAATTCATTCCAAGGTTGGTAGATACAGCAATCCTGGAAAATCCTGTTTGGATATTCTTCAGCGGGCAAAAACAGCATCTTTGGGAAATGGAGAATACTGGATTAAATTGGACAATAAACCACTAAAAGTATACTGTGACATGAAAGCTGATGGAGGTATTTTTTGATGTTGCAATTATTATTGAGCAATACAATAGATTGCTCGAATTACATTTTTAACATAAGCAAGCTAAAAAGTTTGATTTAAGCAGTAACTATTTTCGCAAAAGAAAACCGAGGAATTCCGGTTGGAAATAATTATAATTCTAACTCCTATAGGTTTTCCTATAGAAATTTGAATGGGAATATATTTTCCTGTAGGATATTTGCATTCCTGTTGGAATTCCTATAGGATCCTATCGGAAAAGGGGTAGTCACATTAGCCTTTCTCACGATGACGTTTTATGGGTACTTTCAATTTTCTCAAACGGGTTTGAAAAATGATAAAGGCATGAAAATGATTTTCCGAATATATATATATATATATATATATATATATATATATATATATATATATATATATATATATATATATATATATATATATATATATATATATTCCCAAATAGACTTTTGTAGAACACAGAGTGCTCAATACATAGAATGCAGAGCGTGTTATAACAATTTTACTGACGTTGAAACGTTGAAACGCGTCAACAAACTAACAGCTCGCGCAATTTAACCGTGTTTTCATTAGTACGTTGCCTGATGATTAAGTGCATGAAACCTAAAATTTACAACTAATTGAAAGAATTGTATTTATAATTGTTATACTTGTTATATATATATATATATATATATATATATATATATATATATATATATATATACACACACCCATTTGCAAAAACGTTGGCCGCAAATAGATAGATAGATACTCGAAGTCTAATTAGAAATGCATATGATTACATTTGCATGGGATTTCAATCATATTACACAACATATGCAATTCTAATTAGATTTCGAGTATCTTTCTATATTTTTATCTGCAGCCAACGTTTTTGCAATATATTAATATATATATATATATATATATATATATATATATATACATGAATATTCTGTTAAAGAGGATGACTTCTTCAGGCATAAAATAATATATATTTACTCCAAACGTTTCGCCGGTTAGGGCTTATTCAGTGGAGAATAAAAATTTACAATGATTGTGATAGGTCTTATATGTACATGTAGTCTCTGATTAAAATTATGATGATTAGATATTATTGTCTAAAAGATTACTATGCTAAGTATCCTACCTAAAAAATGTGTGTATATATAATTGTGTATAGAATATGTAAAAGAGCTATAAAAGAGTTTATAATGGGTTGATACCAGGCATGGCAACCAAAACACCTTCATATATATATATATATATATATATATATATATTAATATATATATATATATATATATATATATATATATATATCCTCCCTTAGTCAATGTTTGTGATTCGTTTATAGGTGGCTGGACATTGGTTACTAACCTCGTTCTAAAGAATTCAAGAGGAATGGATTGGTCTCTATAGACTGACTATCGTCAAATTTGTGAATACAAAAACCAAAAGCTCGGTCTTTCAACATATGCTCTTCGTGACTTGGGATCAAAAATGTCGTTTAATCAACTCCGATTTTTTTGTCGAAAAAAGATTCCGGGACGAATCATTGATATCGCTACGAATAAAACCAACAATCTTGGTCAAGAAGTTATTAGGTATTTTACTGCTCAAACAAACACCTTTCCCAAGAGTTGTGGATCTTATTATCGTTTACCCGATGACAATTCAATTCTGGCCAGTCAGTGTTCTCGATGGGGTTATTATCAATCGAAGTATTTTGTAGGTAAATGGCATCATGGTGGTTATCCCATCAAAGATCGTTTATTTAATCACGCGGCATTTGTTGCAGCTAAAGCTCATTGGATAGTTGGGCAAACACATGGCCGTTGGGAATGCGATGATTCCGGAAATACCCCAGGATACGCAAGATCGCCAAACGATTTTTGGAAAATTTTCGTTCGTTGATTGTTGGTTTAGCGTGGTATTTATAGAAAGACGTAAAACACTATACCCTACGTAGCTTACCAATTAATGTTGCTCAAAAATGTATAGCTGTAATTTTCTGGTTTTGCAATGCATTTATTTTGAAAACTCTCGTCCCCGTTTGAAAATTTGAAATAACTAAAATCCGACGTATAGTTTTTAGATGATAAATACTAAGCGCTGCAGTTGAAAAGTTTTCACTGTGGGTGAACCCTGCTGGTTAACCCTATCGAATAGCTTGGTAAATCCTGTGTTGGGCATTTCGCTTTAATATGGCCCACACCACCGCATTTCCAAAAAGTAATTTTGCCTTTGGACATAAACCCTGGCTTATTATACAGCTATTCCCATCCCCAGATTTTGCGCGCTCGGTTAGCATATTGACGCCCTTCTCAAGCTAAGCAGTTTGCTTGGTGAGCATCTCGGAAATGCGCATCTCCATAGACTTCTCGACTGTTTGAACCCGAGACGATTTCGCGCGGTTCTGACCAATTTTTGCCTCGTAAATTGCCTTGAGCTGAACCGCGCGACTTAAACATTAATCGAACGTGTTTGAGTTGCCCTCCCTAACACGGACGTGAAGTTTGGACAATAGTCTGTTGAGAATGCCTTCTTAAGATCTGACAAAACGACCAAATTAAATATTTTGCTACCCATATTGACATAGCAGCTGTTTGTACCATGTAATAATGCTGAGGCAGTAGAGTGATATTTTCGAAATCCAAATGGTGTTCAGAAAGTAAAGAGTTGTCAGTAAGATATTGGTATATCTGGTCATGCATTATTCTTCCATGCATTATCTTACTTAGGCAGGATGGAAATAGGACTAAAGTTTTCTGCTAAATTCCGTGGGCCTTTTTTGTGGATTGGTACAAGTCTTGCCATTTTCCATTCATAAAACAATTTTTAATTAAACCATTGTTAAAAATATGCGTCAGTGATGGGGCAATAGTACTATAGCAGCAACTTTTAAAATTTTACTACATAATTATTTTGTTAAGACCAACAGCTCTAGCACTGGACAAGGCATTCAAAAGTTTCACTACTTTATATAGCCACCGACACAAGCTTGAAACGATCCATTTTAGATCCCGCAGATTCAACAAATGTTTCAAACGAAGAATTGGAATCTTCACTAGAATTAGCTAGGTTCGGGCGAATGTTGCTAAAATATTCATTGTAAGCATTAGATATTTCTTCAACAGAAGTATAATATTAAAATCATTCGCTATTTGATATTCAATTCATTCACAGTGGTGTCCTTAGGGGATCGGCCTAATAAGTCATTAATCGTTTTTCATGCCTTTTTAGGATTATATTTTTGATGAACTATCTTAGTGCGATAATGCTGAGGCTTAGCATGTCGTAAAGCAATATCGACTCAATTTCTGAGTGTTTTATACACACACCAATCGGCACTTTGCTTTGGCACCATTTGCTTTACGTTTCTTTCTACCCCGGTCAAATATAAGTTATTTTAATATTTACCGTTGCCCACGGTACCCTAGTCGACACGGTACCCTATTTCATTCCAACAGGCTCACATAGAATCAGAATCTGACATTACTACAATCGGTTCCCAAGGTTGGGTCAACAGATCCTCATTGAAGCGCTTTTCATTAGGGTTCATGTTTCTAAATGCCACTTTTTTAGCTTTTTTACGGGTACTATATGGTCACTAATTTCTGTGGGTATTACTCCAGACTGGACAATGCTTGGATACCATCAGGGACAAGATCATCTCGGATTTTAGACCTATAATTATTGATAGTAGTACGGGGGTAGATACAAACACCTCTGTCTTTCCTGACGATATTGTAGCTTTGAATTTTGACTAGACCGTACGAAATTGACGAATCCAGTCTAGTTTCACTCAAGGCAAGCAAATCAAAATGGAGAAAGGGTTTAGATATAATTCTTCAACGTGAGTCGGAATACTAATTATATCAAGTGATACCATTTTAAAACCCCTTGCATTGGGACAACTTGGGTTTAAATTATAGGGATTAAATTTTAATTAGGTTCTAATCTAATTATTCTATTGAGGAAGGTTCATCTAATTCAGAATCAGCAATCAGTTTTATAAAATCCACTTAGTAATTATTTTGCAACAATAGGCTGCTGGTAGGATTTAAGTGTAATCCTCTGACACTTAAATGTGTAGACTTAATAATCAAATTTGTAGCTGCAAATAGTGGGAAGTCCAAGTAGCAAGGAGATCCTGATTTACTTCAATCCTCTAGTCGTTGCATGCAAATAGTGGGAAGTTTCACCTTGCCACTCACCTTGCCACACAACTACCGCAGCGACTAGCGGATTTACTATCTCGGCAGTTATCACAATATTGTATGCCATAGCTTACAGGAATATGATTCTCAATTAGTTTGATTCGGAGCTCCAAAACGCACGTCGATCTGTATGGGTGCCGAGCCTGCGTCTTCCGAGGCACGGCCTACGGCAACTCCTCTACGAAGCACGAATAAACAATTCTTTTGATGCTGTTCGATTAAGTTTAGCTGTAATCGGTGTAAGAATACATTTAATACATGTGGATTCTGGTTTTATTTATTAATATCGCTGCTCTTTTGCCGTTTAACAAGACGTGGTCGTATATGAGCGAATTCCAAAGTGTAAGACAAAGTGAAAGTCGTGTTCGTGTGTAAACATATGCGGTTTATTTACATTTTTGAACTGTAAAAGTCTGTGCTTTTAAAGCACTGCGTGCTGTCTGAATATCGAACAACGTTGAGGTTCGCAAGGCTTCTAAATTAGTAAGAACTTGTAGCGTTTATGTTCGGAAGCTTTATATTGAAAAGAGTGGCACTTGCGCGGTACGCCGGAGTTAACGCCAGAACAAGCGTCTTGTTTTGATAATAATCCTATTCGCCAAATTACCCTCTTAACCCATAAAAGCCATAATAGTGAATTATCAATGATCAAAACAGCATTATCAACCGATCTGTGTATTACCTCCCAATGGGCTAGACATAACAATATGGCCTTAAACTTTAGTAAAACCAAATTCATAAAAATATATTCAAAGCGAAAGTATCCAATGCTCGACTGTGTCAGCATATTACACGAGGAAATTACGATAGAGGAAATTAATTCTGGTAAACTACTTGGAATAATAATTCTTGATAATAATCTTACTTGGGACTACCAAGTGGATAAAATCTTCAAACTGCTAAATTCTCGACTGTATCTATTTAAGCTTATTTGTCCATCCCTTCCAGTGAAGTGTAGAATTCAGTTTTATTATGCCTTTATATACCCTCATCTCTTATATGGCATCACTGTGTGGGGAAATGCACGTCGCGAGCTTATTGATCCGCTGCTAAAACTACAAAAAAGAGCTGCAAGATTAACTTTGGATGAGAGTATGTCAACCCCTTCTGTCGATCTTTTTCGTAAACTTAATTGGATTCCCATCAATAACTTGATTAAGATAAGAAAAATACTGTTAGTTGTCAACACCCTGCGTAGCTCATCACCAAGTGAGCTTCGCAATCTGTTTCATATATCTGGTGAGATGCAAAATGTCCATACTCGACGTTCCTTAATCGATCTAAGGGTACCCTTAGTCAAATCTGAGCTGCCTAAAACTAAACTCTCATACAGTGGAGTTTTGCTGTTTAACTCTTTGCCAAATGACCTAAAAATGGTCCATGACTACTCCCCTTCGGCCTACAAGTTTAAACTAAAAAAGTTCTTTCGAGATTTGAATTATGAAGTTGACCATCTTGAACATTTTTCTTGCTCTTCATGTACTAACATTGTTAAGTGTATATGTTACACTTATTGACTTTTCACTTGTTCTACTTTTCTCTCAATCTATTCAATATTGATTCTACTTTTATCTCAAACTATTCAATATTTCTTTTGTCAGTTTATGTTGTCTCGTCTCAGTATTGTGTTGTACATATATATATATTTTGTTGTGTATATAGTCTTTGTGTTTTATATATACGTATACATAATATTTTCTCCTTTGTACATATAGTTCCGTTCATTAACTGTGTTGTATATAATCCTCTAATGCCATTCCTGTATATTATAATGACCGCATAAACTATTTATATGTATCATAATGAGGGCCATTTGGAAGAATACCGCTTAGGTAAAAATGTACTATTGTAACCCTCTTTAAATAAAGTTTATTATTATTATTATTATTACCAGTTGACTTGCATGATTTTTGCGGAACAATTCATTAAAGAAAAATGACCTAATAATTTATTGATTGCTAACTGAGTTCGAGCTATCATTCCGTTGTAACAAAAATGCTCACGTTTTGGTACATATTTTGTCATAACAGAATGGTAGGACTCTAACTCACCAGTGTGATGGAACTCTGTCGAACCATTTTTCAGCCATATGATGCTTTTCTGTTTTTTTGCAGTGAGCCTAGGGTGTCCACATTTCTTTATTAGTTTAATTTCCTTAGAGAGCCTCCAACTATGCTTACCAGTGATGTGTTGTAACAGTGATAGCCACTTTTTCCTTAGGATATCGGCATTCTTATCACATGTTGCAGCACACCATCACAAATGATTAGACACACTCTGTATCCATGG